TGGGATAAGATCTTTATCGTTTTGGAAGCCATTAAGAAAAAAATGCTCTTGTTTTATCCTGTTCATTTTGTGTTTAAATGCTAAAAAAATGTAGGTGTAGTTCTGGGGGGCCGGGAACCAATTAATTTGTTTTCCATTATTTCTTATGGGAAATATTTGATCAGAACTCGAACTTTTTAGGATTCAATCCGGAGTCCGGAACAGATTAAGTTCAAGAACCGAGGTACCACTGTCTTAAGCTAACTTTTAAATGAAATGAAAGTGTTTTGAGAGCATGGCTGGGGTCATATTTAGGGTTTAAGCTATAGAAATAAGCACATATTACTATTTATAGTGACTCTACCAAACATCCGCGAATGGATGTTTCTGGAACCTAACCTCGTGAATGTCCGAGATCTGGCTGTATTATTATTGGTGGTGGTGTTGTTGTTATATTGATTGTATTATTATCGTTATTTATTATTAGCTCGGTTTAGCTGTTTTTTTTGCCTTTTACAGGTAGTTTCTGCCTTACTCCAGTCATACACACACTTGGATAATGTCATCTCAAATAAGTTAGCATGCCGGATGCATTTACAGGAACAAATATGGGTTCGATATAACAGAGTTGACCGACATGTTCCTAAACCACTGATTTATGACTGAGCACACGATATGCATGGTGACTATGATGCATAAGCCACAGTGTTGTGAGCGTTAAGTATAAATGGACTCTACCTGTGCAGTGGCAAACTGTAATGGTTCCTCTGTACTGGTGTTCTAACTACTCACAGCCCAGGGCATCTTTTCTGTCACAACACGTACATGTGTTTTGATGCCAGAGGAATGTTTCACTAAGGGAGAAGCAGTACAAAGTTGTCTGTTCAGCCCCAATTTTTCTGTGAGAATGCCATTGATTTTTCTGCTGCTAATCCTCTTCTCGTTTCAAACTGTTAATGCATTTGTTATATTCAAGTCCTAACTTTACTGAAGTAAACTGGTCCTATGCTGATTTAAGGTTCAGGCAATTCTGTCTACTTCAAAGGAATCGTTGAATATAATCTTTTCTAGTTGCCTAAACATGACTTTTCTTTCAATTGGCTTTTATCAGGTACCGGTACTCTTCACACTAGGCTTGGGCGGTATCCAAATTTTGATACCTTCAAACCTCCTCCCTATTTCACCTCTGTGAATAATAAAAAAAATTTGATGTAAGGCTCAGACAGCGTCACCAAACTGTTGGCTTGTGCCTAAACCGTTCAGAAACTGAATACCAAACACTAATACTGAAACAATAACGTAAACCAAATAAAAATACCTGAATCAATTAAATAAATCCGTATTTACCGCCTCTCCCTTCTCGTTCGGTCAAAACCCAAAATACTGCCAAAGTATATGCAGAAGTTGTGTTCTTTTTCGAGACCAGGGGCCTCATGTATAACAACGTGCGTAGAATTCACACTAAAACATGGCGTACGGACAAAACTAGGAATGTGCGTAAGCAAGAAAAAATCCAGCTGCATAAAACTGTGCGTAAGCACAGATCTACGCATATTCCCTTTATAAATCCCAATGAGCGTGAAATTTTATGTACGTGAACGAGCCCACAGCCACTCCCCCGACCCGCCCATATTTATGTGTATTTGCATATGTAAATCTGTATAAATACCCGCTTTGTTCTATGTTTTTCTTAAACAACAATGGACAAACCACGAGGG